AATTTGAGAAGCGACTGAGAGAAGTGGGGGAGGAGCGTTGGGCTATGAAGGTTTTCAGCTACTTGTTTATGAAGAACATCGACACAAAATGGAGGAAGCGAACCAGAAAATTTACAGGTAAATACTTAAAAAAACAGCAGGAAGCCAAGCGAAAAAGAATTATGGGTAAGAAAAATGTGAAGGAAGCTAAGACCGATATGCGGAGAATTGGCTTGATTAAGAAGTCCGCACTAGAGATCTATTGAAATTTCAAGCAGACAATTGCCAAGTAAGGGATTTATGATAATATTCGGGCAAGTTCTCTACCGTATAAGGCGAGGACGGGAGTATTGCGAACCAAGACATATCGGGCCAAATACGGAGGGGTACACACAGTATGCTGTGCGTGTTGAGAGGAGGATAAAACTGCTGAACACTTTATGATGTTCTGTAAAGGGCTTCACGCTATATTTCAGGATGATGTCGCAGAGTTTTCCGAAGTACTAGGGTTTAGGAACAGGGAGGGCAAAATAGACTTTAAGCGGGTAGAATTAACTAGAAGGAGGTTATCTTATTGGTGGCTAAAGTTAAAGCACGATTGAAAATAAACCCTTTACTGCAAAGTACCAGTCCTCATTCTCACTATTTAAAGCAAAAAAAGATAAATATAGCTTTTGGTTCACTAAGTAGTACGACTTGGTGGCGTTAGCCACCGCCCAGTCTAAAGGGTAAGACCATATCAATCAATTAATCAATCCAAATCAGTGAAGCATGCAGATACGGGGCCATTTTTTTTTTCTTCTAAGAGCCTTGGAACAGGATTATGCTGTTTGACGCACCTATAAAAAATATCTTTCATTGGCCTTGTGCCATTGACTTTCAGATATGAAACTTTACATTGCTTAGCGCATAAAAGCGAAATAATCAACAATACATATTTCGAGCAATAGTACGATGCAATGCACTGCTCGATATAATTGTGGTCTTGAAATGTGGCCTCCGTGACATAAGTAATACTTTTACCTTATTTATCTGCATGTCATATCTACCTTTCTCGTGTTCATGCTTTGTCACTACGTTTCATCACGTTCGCAATAGTATATAGGCGTATATTATCCTCCTTGCACACATTTATAAATACAGTTAGAGACTACGATTGGTCTTTGGGCCCGTGCTGAGAGCTGCACGCTTTCAGCACTGGAGCAGTAAATGCGAAAGCACTTGTTAGGCGGCCTAAATACAAATATGTCTATGACTTGAACCTATTTTTTTGCTGAAAAAATTGCAATACAGCATTACACCACCGTTTCATTCTGTTAAACAAGCGAAACGACACGACCCAAAAGGACTAATACCGCAGCAGTCTCCCACAACCAACCAAAGCACAGGCAGCTCAGAGGAATGGCATATCAACGCCCCAGGCAGCATGTCAACGAGTGAGTTCTCTTGCGTGTTTGTTTGCTGTGGTCGCGGCTCACGTCCACCCCGTTGAAAACATATGCAAGCCAACACGTCCCTCTCGCCACTCACGGTAAAATGTTGAACATTCCTTGTAACTTTTGCAGTTTCTTTTTGTCAACATTGTATTGTGTTCTAAACGAAGAGCAAACACTTATTCAACCGTGGTGTTCAATGTACGACCAGCATGATTTAACGTGTCTGAATGGTGGAAGGTGTTGGCTTATGAATCGCACGACGCATGCCCTGTGCGAATTCAACTGGCTGTAGAAAAAAAAACTGCTCAAAATAGAAGGGACGCATGGGGCACAAGCGAGAATGGCGTTAGAAGCAGCTTACGTGAAGTGCGCAGATTATTAGGCGGCTTCTCGCAGTATTGCGACGTTACTTTGACAACAAGAAAGCATGTCAGCACTTGATATTGCGCAGTCTTTGTTGCTTGAAGCGTGGACGTTGCAAGCGTGAAATTCGGTCTTGTGGACTTATGGAGTGTTATCTCGAAAGTCACTGCGTGTCTCGTTCCACGCATTCCTCTTTCACTGAGTTTCATTCAGCGAAGTCGTGGTAAACTCGATCACACGACAATGTTTGAGCATCTTACTTACCCACTTGCCAGCTACCAGTACTTGGGAATGTAGGTGGAAACACCTTCTTACTATTCTGTATTCCACTGGGAACTTACCGGCCGTGCCTGTGTACGGAGACGTCGTATACCTTCCTCAGGACGTTCGATCCCATGTTCATAGGAGGTTACAATTGTGCTTCTACAAATTGCGGCTAAATTAAGCCCCATTTAGGATCTCTGAGAAAAGAAAACAATGTTTTTGTGACGTAAATTTCACTATCAGAGGGCTAAGATAGAGTGTGCAGTCGGCAAAGAATGGGTTCCTGCGATTGCGGTGGGTTCCCACTTCACACGATGGGTGAATGCATTGTTGTTTAAGTGTTATCGTGCAGGTCAGCTGGCTGCACAGCCGGTTCTACAGTTCTTTGATGTATATAAAAAGAAGAAATCCCGCCCCACCGCGGTGGTCTAGTGGCTAAGGGCTAAGGTATGCGGCTGCTGACCCGCAGGTCACAGGATCGAATCCCCGCTGTGACGGCTGCATTTCTGATGGAGGCGGAAATGTTGTAGGCCCGTGTGCTCAGATTTGGGTGCACGTTAAAGAACCCCAGGTGGTCGAAATTTACGGAGCCCTCCACTACGGCGTCTCTCATTATCATATATGGTGGTTTCGGGACGTTAAACCCCGCATATCAAATCAAAGTAGAGCTCCTACTGATGATGATGATTACCGGTGAAATGTCACAATCCACCATTAAGGGTGAGCCATGAGACGTGTGGCAGTAGAATTTGTGAAAAAAAGTTACGTGTTGTTATTCTTACCAGCCCGGGCACTTTGTTGTCTGCTATACTCATTTTTTCCCCATGTGTGTGCCTTTTGTGGTCACATTTAAGGGCCGCTTTTATCGGCCTAAGACCTGGCGATGCAATTGATAGTCACATAGCAAAATAAACGCTCAATTATCTTGCACGCTACTAAAAGAAACGAGTAGCTTTAATAAGGCCAATGGCTGATCCACATGACTGTTGGTTGTTTTCCTCGTCATAACCCATACACCCCCATATGCGCACGCGTTTCCTCCGTTTGTAATTAAGGAGCAGGCCAGGTAACGTCCGCTTGTCTTATCTTCGGTGCACCTTTTGTGGGTGAAATATTCTGCTTTATTTTTCTCTAGACGCTCATGTACCACGTAAATTATGCTGTTTCTCTATGGCATGAGTTCACCAGCTCCAACGGTTAGCCAAGAAATTAATTTAGGCACGTTGCGAAAATTCCCATTTTTCAGATACAATGATTATCACGCGAGACCTTGACCACGTGATCCCAGTTACCCAGCCAGTTCACAGCAAGTGCCGTGATACTCCGGATGCAACTTGAACTGGGCAGCAATAGAACTGAGCATATGAGGCTCTCAACACGCTTGCATTCTCTTTCAACCCCCTATTCCCCAACCCCAATGTAGGGTAGCATACCGGATACTAGCATCTGGTTAACCTCTCTGCCTTCCTTATTTCTCGTTTCTCTCTCTCTCTCTCTGCATTTGCGATGTGCTTGTGGACGTTCCCTTTACTAAAAAAAACAAAGTTGTGTTGACAATTCCTTGAATTATCGTAAAGTACGCTCTTGCTTATTCTTCATTTACCCTTTCAATAGCTAGCGAGAGCCGGCTTTCTGTCGACGAGTGCTATCGCTCTTCCTGTAAATCAAAGCCTCTCTGAAGTTTCGTATAAAACTCTTCTTCACCATATCATTTACACTGTCAGCCGCATACTTTCTCATGAGTATCCATTTTTTTCTCTAATTTGAAACTCTTTTTGCCCTATGTTATTGCCACGTTGCTTCCTCAAGTTTTCTTATCAACCTGTTACGCTGTACGCAATTCTCAGCGCAAACCACGCCTACAGTGTTCAGTGTTCGAGAGGCTTCAGGACTGAAGTCGATAATTTTGTTAAGGTTACGCACACTTCGTGAGCATTCAAGATTATTCTGGAACATGCATTACCGCTAGCGATAAAGTTAGAATGTTCGATAGTATGTGTATAAATGCTGACACGCTTCACCGCTTGACAGTTGATCGACGACCGACGCTCAGTTCGCCGACATCAGTGCCGTTGTCTTGCTGTAATCTGAATTTCCTTGAAGTGGGCACAAGTTCAGCGGAATAAACAGTTCTACTGTCTGCTCTCTTTGTCATTGTCACGACCCTGTGGCAATATCGCGACGTTTTGTTTTCTTCCCATAGTCTGTCTTTCATGTTTCTTACTATTTCATATAATTTTGTTCAAACGCACTTTCAAAGTAGCTACCAACTCAGCGTCGTTACACGTCTGCATGTGGTGCAGTGGAGTGTAGTGTACGTGTACCTCTTTATTAATATACTTTAGGCATAATGTAAAAAGTATGGTAATAAAGGCTGTGTAGGGTAAATGAGAGTGATTTCACCCATGACGAGGTAAATTTCGCCAAGATTGGTTGGCAACACTGGCTATATTATAGGCTGTTTTCTTTCAACTATCATGTATGAATTTGAGGTGCGAAGCTGCTCCTCACCTTTATGCCCTTTGTCCCTTTGCCAGCTCACCCTCTACAGCGGCCAAGAATCACACTTCAGTTCAATTATTTAAGGACTAATTCATTTATTCACTCTTTCAGCTATATCTTCCTTTCGGTTTTACGATTCCTAACTATTAATGATCGCGCCCTATCTTCGATCGCACTGCCTAGTCTGCCTGTCACTAGAGTATTAAAGTTTTATATAGTCTGATTATTTGGACTTGCAAAGCAGATCTTCATAGCAACTATGAGCTCTGTTCAGTTTAGTTGCTCCTAAAGGGAGCGTTATTTGTGAAGTGTTCATGCTATCAATTCAGCGTGTACTCTATTATCGCTTCTCCGGCATCAACTTTCATAACAAAATGGCAAGCAGTTGATAGATTTTGCCAAATCACAAAAGCGTGAGTATTCTAAGCATGTCAGTACTTATACACGCTACATTCATTTTGGTGTTAAATTTTCAATTTTATTTCTCACAAATAATTCACCCGTCTCACGTGTGAGTGGAAATATTCATATCATTTTTTTTTGTTTATATGGCCTGTACAATACGTCATGACCGGTCACTCAGAATTTTATACCGGATGAGGTCTAGCAGTTTTATTTATTTGCTCTACTTTAATAACACCTCCGGCTGATGTGTTTTCGACAACAACGTTCCTGTCTTTCCTGCAGCACTCCCGTCCAAGCATAGCTATCCAAAGAGCAACTGCGACCACGTTGACCATTCCGCAGATGACGAAGAGCCAGTCATAGGCGCCTCCTTCGTCCCTGAAGTAGCCTGAAAAAGAAAGGCCCGTTAGTAGGCATGCGAACCAACAGGGAAATAAAAATGAGAAGTGTGAGCGCTGACGCTTCCTTTACAAGATAAAGGCGGGGTTTAAAGCTGGCGCTATGTTTTTTACGTAGTTACACGTGCCTGTCATATTTAAAAGCGGGGTTACAGCCACACTGGTTATCGCTGTAATTGGTGGACCAAGATCCCCTGAGGTCGCATTGGAAGAAATGTTTGCAAACATTACTCACAGAACGGCAGCAAGCAAAGCCAGTTCATTGTGAGAAGCGGGTCATCGCTTGATTTTTTTTTATGTATTGTGAAGCGCATTCTCTACAATACTTAAGCCACCGGGAACAAGGGGGTGTCTGTGATGGAACCTTGCTTCTCCTTATCGGAATTCATACGCACGCCTATGGGTATGTCTGATTTGGTTAAGAAGAAAGCACCAGGATGGTTGTTAAACGAACGCCGAAACACTTTTTCAGAATGGTCAGAAAGCACTGCCGATAGGTAGAAGAGGCTTCTGAGAACACGCGAGCCAAGTGTTTCAGCACAGCACGCACCCTATATTTTACAACAAATTCATAAAGTCAGCTAAAATTGTTTTTTTCTTCTCTCGACAAATTACGGAAGAAGCTCATCATAGCCATTCTAGCAGCCATTGGCTGATTATACCATGACGTGGCCCGCCGCGGTGGCCTAGTGGCTAAGGTACTCGGCTGCTGACCCACAGGTTGTGGGATCGAATTCTGGCAGCGGCGGCTGCATTTCCGTTGGAGGCGGAATTGCTGTAGGCCCATGTGCTCAGACTTGGGTGCACGTTAAAGAACCCCAGGCGGTCGAAATTTCCGGAGCCCTCCACTACGGCGTCTCTCATAATCATATGGTGGTTTTGGGACGTTAAACTCCACATATCATTACAACATGTCGTGCTCGGGCGTTACGAGGCCAGCCGTGGGAGGCCAGGACTTGTTCACGCACTTAAAAAGCACTGAAGGAAGCCGCATATTCCAAAAAGAAAAAAAAATCACTGCATTTCAAGCTGCTTGAAGATAGTTATAGGGCGAAGCTTTCGGAGGTGATCATTGTGATTAAAATTTAGATGGTACTGAGACTGATTGTGGTTGTGATACTTATAAATTTTTTTATTCAAAGAGATAGTGCTCAGACCAATTGTGATATAGCGGTAGTTGTTCTTTATAGCTGATATGAGGTTCCCAGTTACGTTTTGACTTCATAATCACAGCTTCATTAGCTATCGTCATTGGTGTAGAAATTTCTTGTCGGTATTGCCGCCTTGCACCCGCTTCTAGTTGTCTCAACTGCGCGTCAGCTTGGCGTTTTTCCCGCTTAGCCTTTGCTTCCTTAGCCCTAGTCTGTGGTGTAGAACTTTGTTGCCGCCGTCGCTGTTTTGCATCCGCTTCCTTCTCTTTTGTCTCCGCGGTAGCTTCCCGTCGACGGTGACGCTGATTCTTCGTCCATATGAGAGAAGAGAATGTACAATATAAAACGTGGTTATATATATATATATATATATATATATATATATATATATATATATATATATAGAGAGAGAGAGAGAGGGGTGCTGTGGTTAATTGTATATATATATATATATATATATATATATATATATTTATATTTATATATATATATATATTTATATATATATACAATTAACCACAGCACCCCCTCTTGCTTATAGGTTGAAGGCTACAAGGTGTTACGGACAGACGGGAGACGACGGACATCGTGAGGTCTTAAGGAGCTTCGCCCCTAAAACTTCTCAAGCTCATGAGGCTTGCGTGACGTTTTATTTGCCCGTGTCATTCCTCCCTGCTTAGCTTCCACCGCTTTCGTGATGACGAGAGAAGAGAGAATGCGATCGCCGCGATCGACAAGTCTGTGAATCCACTCATACTGGGCGGATTCTAAAAAAGTTTGCAGCAGTGAAGTTTTGAGGGAATAACCTCTTCTGGTGAATTCATTCTATGGCTACTTTAAAAGGTGTTGCTTGGCCCTTCCAAATATTTTTTTTTTGCCGACAGTGGCTGAATTTCTGAAGACAAACGAAATAAAACATATTCATTCGGATGAAATCTTAAACTCAAAACCCAGTACTTTTCTAATTCATTCGGAGGTCAGCTGTAGCATAAAAGGCATTTTGCTTGTTCCATTTTAATATATGCGATATTTTAAACTATCGTTAAAACATGGCGTTGTATGCTAACGCAACAAAACATAAATACGGCTGCGAAACAAACAATTAACACACACCATGCAGATTAAAACACTCATGTAAACTTGTTGACGGAGACCTGTCTGTCTGTGTGAAGCATTTCGTTTCAATCAACCGCAAACCTGATTGATTGATTGATATGGAGTCCCAAAGTCACCGTATGATTATGAGAGACGTCACTAGTAGAGGGCTCCGGAAATTTTGACCACCTGGTTCTTTAACGTGCACACAAATCTGAGCACATGGGCCTACAGCATTTTCGCCCCTAAAGAAATTCTGCAAATCTATCGGTTCCGAAAGGAACCTTGCAAAGAGGAGGTTATTTGAAACATGGCACATCTGGAATAACGCTGCTAACATCAACCGCACTTTGACAACAATGGTACTTAGTGTTTGTGCGCAATTCGCGATTCAATAGAAAAGACAAGCTGAATAAAGCAGAAATGACTCTACTTCTTCAGAAAATCCAACGACCAAGTAAAAAACAGCAAAATAAATTGATCGTGGAAATTTCTGTCATTCAAAAGCTCGCGCTTTAGCACCTTCAGTACTATAAAAATGTGAGCATGAGCAAATCATACGGAACATACGCATTATGTTTAGCACAATGACGAAACTTCACGTGACCAAGGTTTGAGCAGCCTTTAAATATCCCATGCAGGAGGAATTAGCTGGGTGGGGTGCGGTGAAGAATGACTCTGTGTCAGTAAAACAGGAGGAACACCCTGGCTGCGTACTGTCGCGAAACTCCCAAAGTGTCACGGCGTCGCGCGACCGCACAGGGATCTTCTCGGTGCATGCTCTGCAAAGTGTGGTTTATGGGCGGTGGGGAGAGGGGGGACGCAAAGTGCTAGGTTGTGTAATTTATTATGAGTTTAATATATTGCCACGAGCGTTTATCTTTTCAGTTTTGCTGTATGTGGTTTACGCTCACAAGAAGTCTCAGCTCTGCTGGGAGCAGACCATGCCGTAGGGATTGAGATGGTTAACGAATGTAGTAGGTCGTTCTGTTAATGTTGTGCGGAAGATGCGAACCCCAAAGGTTATTCGAGAGCTTGCGCGACCACCAGGGACAAAGCTGGAAAGTTCGACGCATGATGCATAAAAGACGGCGCGTCGCGAAGATGATCAATTCATCGACATCTGGCGCTGCATACGTCAGTGTCACGCACGTTCCCTTCTTAGAGTATCGAAAGCAGGTTCTTCGTTCCACCCCCATTTAGGAACAAGTTCTGCTACAAGTTCCTTAGTGGCAAAAAAAACTTCTTACAATTACGTTTTCTAAATTGAAACATGTCACTACATTAAGGTTGCAAGAGACCTTTTGAATAATATGCAGTATTATATAGGATAGGGCGGTAAAAAAGGTCAGAAATTGAGAGCGCACCTCGAGTTTTTATTACCATATGCGTATTTACTATAACAGACAGCTAGTTATACGCAAGTAGAGGAACAATAAATAAACGCGGCTGAATAAATTTCTTAAAGACTATACCGGCACTGCTACTGACATGTCTATACCGGCACTGCTACTGACATGCTACTGACATATCTGTTTCTTAGAGACTACACCAGCGCTGCTGCTGACAGTCCAACAATTTCCACGTCAATCTTTAATGACGCATCAGCACACTGTAGCTCAGGCACTAAAATATAAATCTCTACCAACGCAACAATATCAATAAATTATTTGTGCAGCAAATGACGTCAAAATTGACAAAAAATTAGGCGTTTATTGAGTGGCTATTTCTTCCTTCACAAGAAGTAGCGAATGAAATGATTTCCAGGATACACATTTGTGAAAAAGTAAAGTCCTCTTTTCGTAGTCAACCAACACATTTCTGCGTGACTTGTTTTCTGCCTTTATATAATTTTGCATTTTTTCTTCTCTTTAGTAGTCGCTCTTTTTATCTCTTTCTTTTGATATCTTTCATCCCTATCCTCCTCTCACTGTAGTCGATCTATAACCTTGTAGCCTTTTCCTTTTTTACTTTTCTGTTATTTTTCCAATGTTTCGCTTTCTCTCAAGACTCGTTCTCTTCCTCATTTACCTTCTCCACACACAAGCTTCTCTTTGTCACCCTATTGGTATACTATACTAAACTTTACTATGCTATGCTCTTCTAGTGATCGCGCATGCTGCAGAAAAACGCACAGCTGATAGCTTCCTCCACGTAAAACTTCATTTTTACGGTCCCTCAGCTAAAAGATATATACGAACACTTGGCGTTTGGAATAGTGAGGTAATCACCCTTACCTTAGTTCTAGTGTATAATTGTAAATGGCCGTTTATTGATGCAATCGCTCTCTCGATAAATGCGAATTTTCTAGTGCAATGTGTTCGTCGTTGAGTGCGATAGCGACAGAATAAAGGCATTAATACACTCTCTGATATGAATTGCTTCAAAGTGTCATGCTGAAATGTGTTGCAAATACCATTAACAAGCTGTAAAAAAAGCTGTATAGCCAAAGGGTTAGGAGGCTCGCTTTCAGATAGCGCGAAAATGGGCACGAATCTTGCCTCACCAAATATCCTCCACAAAGTTTTCTGTCTATTTCTTTCAGTCTATCACTTCCACCCACTGTTGTGGTTCTCTCGCCTACCAGAATTATAGCATCCCACACCAGACCAGTCAGTAGAGGCACCTCTGCATCTAACTATCAACTATTGTTTTCTGCGCGTACACATTATAGTCATTGTCGATATATTTGACTTTCCTGAGCCCCAGCGAGCACTATGCAGTAAAAACTATGATGCATCCCACTAATGTGGTATATAGGTGAAAGTTAATTTATAAGCGCCCTACGTGATTGCCCCTTCGTGCTGCTCTGCATGATGGGCTGCTGCCGTGCGCCTGGTGAATGCCGGAGAGCGTTTACAAATGAAATGTCGTTCCCATTACCGTTCGGTCATAAACGTAATGCGTTACCGTTAGAGTTCAACCGCTCCGGACTTGAACGTTATGTTCATTCCTTCCTACGAAAAGAAACTAGTTCGTGGAACGTCAATCTGTACAACATGCTGTATTGCATGCATTGCTTCCTGCAGCTTAAATTTCTGATCCCGGCAACAAGTTCGGCCAAATTATCATTTCCATTTAAGACACGCCTTCTCTACCTTCGTCAACGTCATCACCATGTGACATTATTTATTACTCTTTTATATTTAGGCTATTTCGCAGAACACACACATTTACAGTCACCCAAATCTTCAGCTGTCGTACGTGAGGGGCAGTTTTTTATGTGTATCTTTGTCATACGACTGAATTAAGCATCAGTTAAATTAAGTCAGGTGGGCAGATGAGATCAGAGAGTTTGCGGGTAAAAAGTGGCAGCAGCAAGCACAGGACCGAGTTCACTGGTGAAACACGAAAGAGGACTTTATACTGCAGTGGGCGTAATTAGGCTGGGGATAGTGATAATGAAAATAATAATAATAAATTAAGGACAAGTGAACGCCCATAAAGTGCATGTCCACGAAGCATTTTTGTGACTTCGTTCCATGTTATGCCACTGAGAGACAAAAAGGTTGCCGCTGCGCACAACAGCTAATGTTTTGGCCGACTGTAGTCGCTTCACTTGCGTCCTTCTCGGGCTTAAAGAACTATGTATCAACTCCTGTGTCTTTTCAATAACAGATCATAAAAAAAAACGTTAGACTGCTTTCGCTTAGTAACTATCTCCTTTATGTTTGTAGTCTCACTCACTCTAGAGTGATAGTAGTTTTGTTCACACTCCCCCTCCTATTCGACATGAAGTTAAGACCTGCCACTGTTTACAGTTAACCATCTTGTCAACAGCAACAACAGCAGGAACAAGACGCCACAGTGTAGTGCCGCGCAGAACAAAGCGCGTTAACACGCATGATTGTAACTTCGGAAGAACAGAAAAGCAGTGAGTTTTATTTACTTCCATCCACAGTATCAGGGATTGCGCCACCATTATGAGGCATTTTTATGTGTATTGGAAAAGTAGCGTTCGTTGAAGTTAATCGTTGTATACAATCGTATGCCTGGCAAAGTATTGTAACAAAAACAACATAACCGGCTGTTATAGTTAACAAAAGTTTGGCGACACAATGCTCAAGAAGAACTTGACTTTTACTGTGCTTTTTTAACAGCAAAAGGAAAAAAATACATTCAGAAAGACGTTGAGAACAAGTTTGGTGGAGGCTTAGAACTTGTTCACAGTGTTTGACTTCTGCGACCAGTGCAAGACATTTTAGAATGGTTAACGGTTTTGTTAAGCGAGCTACGTATGATGAAACGTTATGTAGTCCAGCTTCAGATGGCTGTCAAATGACAACAATGCTCATGAATAAGTTTAAAATTATAGCTTCATATTGTCACATGTAAGTGTGGCAATATGAACAGAGAGCCAATGTAGCTATATCTACAAAGCAAGAACGTTTCTTCAAAACACTCAGGCAAATCGACCTAGATTCATTATCAGCATTCATGAAAGAAATGTGTCGATTTGTAAGATAAAAATTGTGATGCAAGTCAAGCACAAATATTTTTTATCTTACTTTTCACTGCCAACAATAGAATTGTTGCTTTATCTGTTTCTTGGAGAAAGCACAGATACAAAACTTACCTATCAATGAAGGCCGCAGAAATGATTGAAGTCCAGCTGACGCGACGACAATGCCGAAGGCCACTGACATCTTCTCACGGCCGAAATAGTATTCCAGAGTCACCGGGAAAATGACAATACCAGTGCCGATGACGAAGCCGATTCCAACGGCCACGGCAAAGATGAGTTCGTGACTGTTCAGGTACGGTAGAAGGAGGAAGGCGAACGCTTCCACACACAGTGTGATCGTCAGGGCCACGCTGCTTTTCAAAAGATTTCGGTCGACGGTGATCGGCAGCAGGAACCTGCCGAAACCCTCGGAGACTGCTCCCGCTGCCATTACGGTAACAGCAGTCGACACCAGTACCCCTCTATCACAGGCAAAGTCGACGAACAGCGACATGTAAAAATCATACGACATAGCGTAAGCGTTGAAGCTGTACATCAAAAGAAAAAACATTGGGCTCTTGAACACTGCAAATAAATGACGTAGCTTGTTGCTCCTTTGACTCTCTATGCTTTTGGTGGTCAAACCTGCAAAGTCTTCAATGTCCTTTACCACATCTTTGCGCCAATGAGGTGTGCGGGAGAATAAGCTAAACGCAAATCCATTCATGGTGATGGCACCGCTGATAAGAAGAGCGCCACGAAGTCCATATGCAGTGATGAGGTACTCAAACAGCTTAGGAAACACAAAAAGGGCTGCGGTGACGCCGGCGTAGTTGAGTCCCATCGCTAGGCCCTTGTTCTTGACAAAGTGCTCGCTGATTATGGTGGGGGCCACTATGTACACCATGCCCGTTCCAATGGCTGCAAACGTGAAAATATTGAATGGTACAAGTGGAATGGTTCAAGTGCATACATTCGGTAACTGCCCGTGAGAAGACACTTGACTAGTCTTTAATGCACGTCCTCTCCCCCCTCCCCACAAAAGCAAACCCAAATATTGCGATTGTTACTGCCGAAATGAAAATGGGTGGCAGACTTAAAAAATAAATAAAAGGGTTTTGGTGTGACCTCACCGGTATACAAATGACATTATGAAGAAAAAGATGCTTTTTTGGAAGACTTACTAGCAGACAGCGTCTGATCTCGCGTGGTTTGGCCTATGTTCTCAAGCAGCGCTGTTATTTTCCTTCATGGTGGAATTACAAAGAGGAAAAAAATGTTTACTATAAATGTCGTGTAAAGGACCTGATAGACCACTGCATAAAACATACGCTCCGAGGCACAATACCGCTATCCTTGACACGCACAAAGCTATTCATGATCATTCTAAGTTAGAACCACCGAGCTATATACAAAGGCGTGAGCTCCGCCTTTGTTAGCATGATGTGATTTTAGTGAGGTACGCAGTTATGCCGCATTTCCGAGAACCTTGCGTTGGTTCATCATATAGCGTTTATTAGGAAAGCTATAGTGCGTATGCGCAATGCTGGGGTTCATGTTTCGCACGAAGTGGAACGCATTTTCGCTGCTATTTTTGCCTGATTTCTATCAAAGCCACTATATTCCCAAACTAAATGTATTAATACATGAAAAATGCATACTGCCAAGTTTTCGATTCCTAAGTTTTTATATGTCTTTTTTGTTAGGGCGTAAGATTTATCAGATTTATCCACCCTCTATATATGTACTCAATGAAGCAATAAGCTACTTTTTTCGGCAGTCTTTCCTTAAAACCTCTTCCTGTAACATGTATATATACGATGTAGCTTGTTTCTTTAACCACCGTTTTGTGTTTTGTTTTTGTCAACAACGACTTAAGGATACCAACTACATACTGGTATTTGTTACGTATCGTTCGCCGAGATAAGTTCTATACTGCGCTATTTATTGAGGAAACTTAGCTGAATTATGAGAACATTGTTAATAATTACTTAAAGGTCAAGTGAATGTCGTCAGACGTTGTCCTTTGGAAACGCCGGATACAATAGTTTGTGGAAACAATCTTGCTGCATGGTCATTTTTTCTACGTCCAAACAAAACCCCGCCAAATGACAGACAAAACTGCCACACTGCCACGCTATCAACCCTGTTTTGAAAGAAGCTATCAACATCAAACCATGAACCTGTCGTCTTTCAAGGAATACGGCGTTTTCTTGCTTACTGCCAACGTCAAAAATGCTCACGCGATGTGAAGCAGATACCTTCAGACGTGGCCACTCATTTCGGCACGGTCAGTACTCTAGTTGTTTTGCTCGATGCACATTGGAAAGCAAAGCAAAAAGATGGCGAAGGAAATTAGTCACGCAGCATCATTTCATATTCCATAGGCTTTCGTTACATGCCAGATATCATCACCACGCAGCAAGCTTGTTAGCAAAAAACATAACAGCTAAGTAGTTTTTGAATGCCCTATACAAATAAACCAAGCTTATCTCTGCGAAATAGTTGTCTTGTATTACTGCGTGTTATCGAAAATTCGCCTTACCATGCACTACACCCAGTGAAAATGTCAGAAAACCAGTTGTTGTGGCAAAAAAACTCAACATAAGGCCGATGCTTGACATCGCAGCGCCCGCAATCATGGCTCGGCTAGCGTGGAAACTGTGCGCCAGTGGTCCCGTAATCAAGCCTAAAGTGAGAAAGAGAGAAACAAATTATACATTGCAGCTTATCACTTTCTTCATATTCCTGTTAATTCTTGTCGGCGGCCGTTTTTTCATGTACAGAGGCCATTGAAAGTTTCAAGGCCAACCATCATGATGAATACATGATAGAGTGGCTGGCGAATTTTGACGGCACCTATGAATGCTGTGTACTTTTGAAAGGTGTGGGCTTTACTGACAACATGTTTATTTATTCATGTTAGCAAGATATAAATCAGCAACGTTGCTTAGGGACAAACATTACTTGAAAAGAGGTTCATGGGGCGCAACCAACGGAGAAAAATAAAGGGGACAGGATAGAGCATTGGATGACGCTCTGTCCGGCCCCCTTCTTTGTTTCGTCTAGATGGGTTGCGTATTTAACCTTTATTCAACATCAGCCAACAAGTGAAAAAACATGTTCTGGTTGCTTGAATATTCCCGGTTGTTATAGAGGGCAAAGAGTACCTGACAATAACTTCGACTGCAGCACTTCCTTACATAACTTGTATCAGTGAATGCGGAGTCAGAAAAAAAAACTGTCATATCCCATTATATGCAACCTTTGCCGTGCACATATTACTGCACAAATATACAGCGTGTATATCGCTCACAAAATGAACCTAGCTAGTACCTAAAAACAAGTTCTATATGGGTAATCGCTGGATACCCGTTCTCAAAACTCGAGAAACCAAAAAGCAGTGAGCGAAAGTGCTCGTTAGCCTAAAGCAGTGACCATTTCGAGCAAAATTTCTCAAGTAGTCGCCAATGCCTGCGCTTACACAAGGATTTCCTAATTTTGGTGCCCAGGGTCATTATAATCATTCGACCACCAAATTGAATATATCTTTTCAGTAACCTTGACCGCCTTTTTTGCAATTAACATTTCCGTAGCCCAGTGCACTGCTTTTGTGCAAACCGCATTGTGGAATGGTTTTGTCAGCAGCGTACTGCTGCTTCGACTGCGCCCAGATTGATAGCACTGCAGTGCTCTCAATCTGAGCGTAAGAGGGTATTCAACCCATGAGCCGCATACTCTCCCACGCTCCTCATAGGCCAATGCACGGTCTTATTTCAAGACTTTGGCTATCCAGCGGTTTAAAAATCTTCGACGCATCTCTGCGGCTTCCTGGAGACTTGTTCAGTTTGCGATTGCTTCTGCAACCGGCAAATTTCTGGAGTTCCTGCATGCCTGCAGGACGGCGTATATTGATTGTGTTCCGTACTTTCTAGTTGTTTTCTTTTAGTTGTTGATTGATTTGATGGATATGTGGGGTTTAACGTCCCAAAACCACTATATAGTTATGAGAGACGCCGTAGTGGAGGGCTCTGAAAATTTAGACCAACTGGGGTTCATTAACGTGCACCCAAATCTGCGCACACGGGCCTACAAAATTTCCGCCTCCATCGGAAATGCAGCCGCCGCAGCCGGGATTCGAACCCGCGCCCTGCGAGTCAGCAGCCGAGTACCTTAGCCACTAGACCATCGCGGCGGGGCTCTTTTATTTGTTGCCACAAAACTTTCGTGCATAGGGAACTTCTACCTACGAGGCCTGTTTTTCTCAAATGAGTCGTTGTGAATGTGCCACTTCATTCTCTGCTATGACGATTGTTATACGGTGTCCTTCAGAAGGCTCCGATTGCCATTGAAACGTATTCGACCACGAATACGTTTCAATGGCAATACGAATACGAAGACTTTTCAGAAGATGTTTTCAGTTACCAGACTTCTGCGCGTTGGCATTGACACGATTTTTATTCCAGACAGAACATAATAAGATACCCAAGGAACAGTTGTGTATGTTATTACGCCCTGTGTTCACTCATGTTTTGGCAATGATGAATTCTCAGCAAAACTAGCCGTTCACGTATTCATTGAAATTACATCAATGTGCGCACTTTGAAACCACAGACAGTCAAACCCAATTCACAGGCCATATCGTATATGGTCGGCTGACTTCAAATATACCTTCACTAGTTTAATGCACCCAAGGACAATACATAATTTGTTCAGCCCTTATACGTACAAAACAGCTCGAGACAGTGTTTACCGATTGTCTCAAAACAAAATTGTGATCATGAGAATTGGAGTGATAACCATATAAAACATGGAAGTGCCCCATGCACCTGTAATTAAGCCCCGCTGATTGCGATGTTATATATGTTATCTTCAGCGTTTTAATGGTTAGTGACGTTAGTGTCAAGCATTTTGACAAAATTCTTTTGCTAGTTAATGCACGTACTGGTAGTTAGGCAGACATATTATGGTAAGAAAAGCCTCGCCGGTTCAACTGCTGCGACAGTACACAGAGGTGACAAAACAAATAGCAAACAGTCACTTTAGGTAGTATGAGGTAAAAAATTCAAATAATTGGGTTCCGTAATCTATGTGCCTGAAAATGATGCTATTCGTAAGTTAATAAGGCAAAAAGCAATTTATAAACATTTACACAAGAAAAGAAGACGACAAACACATGCTGCAATGTCCATATTTTACTAACTTAATTTGAAACGCATGCAATTTATTGGCAAGAGAACCGTCAATTATATACACTCAGTGATTAGTGTATGAAATCTGGAAACATGGTTAGTACGAATTGCATCTTCGGGATCACCATCAGATACAAAGATTGCTTATTTGGATATATGTGGTGAGTGATATCGTTTTCTCTTTTTGTGAAGCACTTGTGTTTTATGTAAGACACATGCACGCTTGGCTTTCCTGGCAACTGTATGTGTGGTGGTTTTAATAAACCTGTAGCTAGTTCCAGCTTGTGTCTTAGTTCACTTCTTGCACGCGTGTTTGTAAGCTGGTTATTTCGTTTTTTTTTTCAAATATGAACCAATAGGGCCAACAATAGATTCTCTTGATGTCATGCATTCAATTAAAACCATCTCAAAAGCAACTACAGGTGGGTAGCAACGAAGGTGCAGGAATTCAGACTTCTAAAAATATTAAATCTATAGGCACTCAAGCTTACTCAAGTTGTCATCCAGTGATCACCAGATTGGCTATGAAAATACTGAAGACTTGTCAATGTTCTTAACTTGTATGAAAGGGTTTAGTCATTGATGGTTGTTGGATCTTGGGAAGTGTATTCACTGAAGACACCTATACATTTCTTGCGCAGCTGTCTGCAGCAAATATGTTTGAAGCATGTTGCTCAGGCCCTTCCCTAACAGGTTCGCGAAACCTTGAAGCGTATGTACGTGCGTGCGTGTGTGCTTGTGCGCACATCTGTGCATGTGCGTATTTCTAAGTTCGCAAAGCTCTGTCTTTGAGCATGACGCGAAAAACCCTGCACTCGCTTTCCTTACTTGCGTTATACTGGTAATGACGACTTCCAGTCGTAAACAGCAACACTTGCAAGTTTGCTGAAAAAGTCTTCAGTTCATAATTCTTAACAATATGATTAGATTCCCAAACAAGCCCATTCAACATGAACCAGTCATTGCGACATAGTTAGAAACAGCAAACAAGACACCATTCAAAATAAGTAGGAATGATGGTGAACATTTTCTGTTGATTTAGCAGAAAGATCCTCCTCCCATTTGAGGTACTAAGGAGAAGGACATAACCTAGACGACGCCCATGATCCCTTGGAGCTTAGCGGCGTCTTCGGCCTGACGTATTAAGCGGGCTTGTAACTGTGAATCAGAGCTGAGGAGAGCGGTATTCCATCCACTCCCGTTTGGGAAATTGCCTCTTATGGGAGCCTGTGGGCCTGCTCATAAAATGTGGCTCAAGTCCGCCGCGTTGCAAAATTTTCACTTGTCCGAATAAGATTCTGGCACGCAATGGTTCATTGTTACCAGACTAGGGAACGTATGGGTCTGAAGTAGGCGCCAAGCCACCACCTGTCCTTTGTTCAATAACGAGTATGCGAGAGCATAAAAGATATTTCATAATACCGCCTTATAGTAAATGACGTTATCTTTATCGCTCCAATTTTTAAGAAGAAATTGAAACGGGTACGACTAGTCTCTATTCCAATGTGCTGAAGTTGTATCGACACAGCCTCTTACAGACAGTACAGATTGAACAGTCAGTATTTCTCACCTGCCATGTAGCCTAGGGCACCTAGCACCACTATGGGCCATGAAGCTTCCACCCTGGTGACGCGGAAAGTCTCGAGCATAGCGACGAATAGCAATCCCATGGAACGCCATCCAGCCAGTGCGAAGAACGATGACATGGCGCATGCTCCTGCGTTGTCAACAGCAATAGAGACTACATTTTAGAGAAACCAAGACCTACTTCACTGAACAGCTCCCTTCGAAATGTTGTTTAAATATTCTAATCACTCTATTGTCTGAAAATCTAATGGGTGTGTTCTAGAGGCCACAACCAGATATTTTTGATCAAAGAGAGGCATTCCTATGTGTGTATCCACAGCTAATGGAGACCATAGAACTGCAGAACAGTGTGCGTATTACTTGTCTAGAAATACGTGCATCGAAAAGTGTGAACGAAATGCAGGTCATTCGTTTAGGGGCAAAAGTGGGTTATAAAATTAACAAAGTTCACTTCTCAATGGGTCCCTTCTCTCTTTTCTTTGCCCGCGTCTTCAGCGCACAAAACACTGCACTGGTAAATGTGTAAGGCTATTGTTAGATTAACTATTTGTGCAAAGTGTTTCAAGATCCTCGTTTTTTTCATTCTTTTGTTATGCTGCGCATTTCTGGTTTCCAAATTAGTGATTTAGAACAATATTAGACTATCGTTTTTGTTGTAAAACTGCAAACTGTTTTCAATTTTAGACTTCATCGTAGCTATTCGAAAGAGTTAATTAAAATGGTTCAAGCATAAGTTCTGTTCTAGTACACCGTGGTGGTGTTGTGGTTATAGCGCTCGAATGGCATCCCGAAGGCTGCAGGCTTGATCCCAGCAGCCGCGGTCACATTTCGCTGAAACCGAAATCTTAAGAGGCCCATGTACTACACGTCGTGAGCGGTGGTTCAACGAGAATGAATGGTCGAAATTTAGCGCCTTAAGCGGTGGTGGGCCTCATAATCACAAGATAGTTTGGCACGTAAGACCCGAGATATATTTAATATTAAGAACTTATTACAATATTACCTTAAATACGTGAAGTAGCTTGCGGACTATATGACAAAAGCCCTCACTCTCAGTCAACGGTTTCTTTTGACAGTAGTTGGACACAGAGTTGCCGTTAGGTGCTACTTTTTGGCTCGTTGGGCGACGAACATTTCCACTTGGTGCCATGGCTATTTACTGGAAACATTTAAACTTCATAACTTTCTTTTTCGTCATGGTTTTAATAATTCATCCATAGTAAAGACTACATTGAAAAATTTGGCAGATCCCACGTGCCTAAGAAATGGACGTTATGTGAAACATGCGGAGAGAAGGTGATCGTGTTGTAACTTTTAATGAGCGATACGTCATGAAATGACGATAAATATATGCACAAAATGTTGCACGTAGGGACATATGTCGAAGATTTTTATATGTTCATATATCCAGTTAACACTTGTGCAACAATGCCAACAGTACCATGAGTATTAGCAACAGCACGTGCAGTATTGTGCCGGTACTTTATCTCGCTACACTATACCCCAAACATAATTGTCACTTATCACCAGTCACACGCAAGGTCTGTAGCAATAAAAAATTTCAAGAGATGTCGGGACACCTGTTTTCTGAACATCGAAGAACCACGCAAAGGCCGCAGTATTATGCGGGCTTAGGTCGCGCTATGCGCGATTTTTATTTTAAAAGCACGCTCGTGTTTAGTTTAAAAACAAAGGTCATTAGCTACAATTAGCAAAGAGAAAAAACCAGGCGGGGCAGTTGTACTAAAATTATGCAAGGCTAGATCCGCCGGCAGCCAACAACATCCTTGACCTTAACTTTCACCTTAGCTACACCACAAGCGATAAGCTGATATGAAGCGCTGGTGCTCACGAGGGTCGTAGCCCTGGACACTGCTGCATTGTTACATAGCAGCCCATTGTTCTTCGTGCGGCTGCACCACACAATTTCATAATTGCAAGATAATCTTAAGGTGTCGTAACAGGATAGATGACGAAATAAAGGTGGCTTTCTTGTTTATTTCGTCGTCGAAATGAAGAAAGGATAAATGCGCGTCAGTCAGCCTTCACTCGGCCTTCTCGAAAAAGAGATTATGTTTTTGAGCGGTTAACTTGGAACATTTCAACTCGTGGCCGCATATTTTCGCATTTAAATACATGATGGTTGACATCTTGTTTTCGTTTTCAGCCATATAATTCCTTGTGTGAGAAATTTACACACGCTTGTTCGTCAGCGCTTGTGTTGAGTGATTATTCTTTGTCTCGTTTTCCACTGTTTCCTCTTAGAAGCCAACAGTTGATGGTAAGCAGCTCAGAACGCTGGAGTGTGCAATTAAGAAGCTCATGCACCTTCAGTGTTTAAAAAATGGCTAAGAAAATTTGTTGAATACCATACACCCCACGTCAACTACGCATGACACATCTAATAATTATTAAACCGATGTCCTCTTTTGTTCCTTTTGAAACTGCAGTTGCATGCAACAGGCGTCATCTGCGCAAATTTTATTATCCCAAAAAGATAACTGTGCTTAAAATAAAGCTTGCAGGCTCTTAGAAAGTATTAGTTACCTATACACCTTTGGGTGGACGGCGGATAACAGAAGGTGCCAGAACTCATGAATTCCTGGCCATCACCCAGGCCAAACCGTCCCATATTAACAGGGTCTTTCACTCGAGTTTTTCGTATATATGTAGTGACGTGTCGTGACCTTGAATTAAGTATGCCGAGTATTTTATGGCTGCGTCACTGTAGTTTTTGGCATGAACATCTGTTGTATCATGACAAAGGTTTCTACTTTACACGATATTAAAAAAGCGTACCACGCGAAGACGTCCTCAAAAGGACAAATGCTGAAATTCACTGCAACCGAAAGTTACACATGCGCCCAGCACAACATACTTGACACTATGGGCGCCAGTTAAATTTTCCTCAACGCTGAACATTCAGCCTTTGTTAGATAAGGCTTGACATGTTCAGGTGCGGTACAGCCTAACAGCTTACTAGATTAACTTGCGTGATCAACATATCTAAAGTGGAGGATTAGCTAACATCGTGATCAACATATGTAATGTATGTTGGAATCAGCCATACTTAAACCATTCATATTTTTCGAACTATATAGCTGCGTTTGAAAGCAAAGTGAGGGTATTGACGTCGGCGCCTAGCCTGTTGCAGTTTGAAAGGGGCAAATGATACAATTAGTCTGTTTTACAGCTATTTGAAGTATATTGATTTCCAAAATGACCTAAACTTTGATGACAAAACGATCACTTACCTCTCTGCAAACAAAATATAACTGAAATGTTTTCATATGAATACAATATATGTCCGAAACAAAAACTGACCAGTTATTGAGCTTTCAATCAGTTTTAATATTGTAATGCTAGGAAACGCAACGTTCTCACTTTATTGCAAATTTGGTTAAAGACATAAATTATTCAGCACTTTTTATAAATTGAAATGACAGATGGGTTCCTTAGTTATTATTTCATTTAAAAGGCAGCAAGCAGTGTCTTATGAATATTTGGTTTTCCTAGCTCCGTCTGACGGGGAAAGGATGTTTTCAGTTTAGTCTGTACGAACCTAGTTTCGCTGTATTTTCTGATGTTCGACCTGACAGTACAGGTGGCTGAACATAAGAAGAACATTATGATACAACATACGAAGACGTTTTGAGTGAATTAGGAAATTTGTGGTGGTAACGATCCTTTACAGTGGGTTACCAAGCTGACCATAGTGAAACCCGTAGGCGCACTACAACGTGCACCTACAACAGTATTCTTAAAGCACGGGAAACGCCCACCTAGAAAGAATGATCCCGTGTTACCTATATAGCAATATCTGAATAGAAGGGTTCCACAACCACTTCATTATTCTGTCAAGAAAAAGTTATGTGTTCAAAAACATGCCTCATACTCGTTGATGAAATGTACATAAACTGTTATCCTACACGGTAAGAACATGCCATGTCTTGTCAGTGCCGCTCATATTGCTCCACGTTACGATGCACCATATGAAAAACTAAAAAATACATACTTCATTTTTGACTGGTGTTTCAAAGTTTTGCATCATGTTTGCGTAAATGCGGAAAGCCTGAAGCATAAGGGGCTCTACAAAAAGGCGACGAATGGACACTTAATTATATGCATGTAAATTTTTCACAAAGATGTTTACGTGTTTTCGCATTTACGTTCATAAACTTACTTCAAAGAACAATAATGGCCTCTTTTGTTGAATTACTATAATCGTGCTAAGCATTGGGGTACTACAATGCCCTGCACATCCATCAGTTAGCCGCCGCAATCACAATATTTTCTATATTGTCATCAGCTACTTTCATGCCTTGCAGACACGTTCACCAAACGAAACATCTGCTCGAACTCGTATCCGCTTCCCAGTAATGTAAGTCATAGCACGTACCGGCCACAAGCCAACTGTGGACACTGTCAGGGCCATGCTGTGGCAGTCGACGGCAACAGTCCCAGACGTACCACTTCCTCCGTCCAGGCATCCTTAGATGTGCTGATCTAAAGGTGTCGTCAGTTGAAACAAGAAGGAATGAATGAACTTGAAGTTCCAGAGCAGCTATACAGTGCACATACATAAACAAAAATTATTAGCACCCGTTTTAGGAGACTCTTAAAAGCAATGATTGCTTCACCAACTGATATCTCATTGTTACAAAGGCAGCGTAGCACTATCATTTGTTAGATTTTTTCACTGTCTCCTAGACTGCGACAGTTCTGTACTGCCATGATGTTTGGTACTGGACGCGTGTCACAGCATTTAGGCAGCCATCCGAAGCAAAGGCTCTAGGGTTATGGCTGTTGTTATCACTGGCTAGAACGACGCGTCCTTGTTTATATGGACTCACTACTAGGACTTTTTTGTCCTTTTTTCGCCTCATGTTCACCCTTATCTTTCAAGAGGGCAGTAATTGGCGTGTTTTTTATGTGCTTACTATCTTTGTTTCTTTGCCCGCAGTGATTGGCGCCCACGCGCAGCATGCCTCTATAGAGCCGACATCACAAAATAGAATCGACTAGTCAGGTGTGACTGACCAAGTGTAGCCCAGATCAAGATCATTGGGCGGAAACTACCAAAACCGTATTATTGAAATAGTGAATGACAATATATTGATTCTGCAACCCGCACTCTATTCAAGCATCTGAAGTGAACGAAGTTGCAGAACTGTACAACGCACAGCTGTGATTGACAATTTGCAAAGACTTTGTAAGTTGGATTTCAGGAAGAAATTTCGTGAATGCAAAATTCTTGTCCCATAATGCTTGCCTTGCTTTGAGTGCATTGAGCCCGTCCAAATCCACTGAAAGTGCCGAAGCTGCAAACACGTTTTGAAAATTGTTGCGAAAATGTCAATCCTCGATCGTAAGAGCCGCTATGGTAAACCGAGAGAAATGAAGAAAGTGAAAGAATGCAAATGCAGTTACCATCCATAAGATACTATAAGTTTTCTTTGCCAATGCCCTGGAGTTCGTATCTGCCACAGCCTCAGACTACAAACATTCAAACAAACAAACAAACAAACAAACAGATATGAATGTTGGTCGGAAAAGTATACTTTGTCCTGACAGGGAATGAACGATGTTCTTCGATCTGAGAATGTATTTGCTTGCACATCCACAGTAACTGCTTTGGAAAGTGCTAATATCTGACTGAAAGTTCTCACTCGTTGCAAGGATTCCAGCTTTTTCGTGGGGACATTAGCTTGCACACAAAAGTTTTGCCCTACATATGCTATAAAATATAGCATTTATTAAAATGTACTATGCGCATTTGCTGTAAACTCACTAATTTCATATCATGGTGCACTAACAAGTTCAAAAAACATTAGTAGAGTATGCGCATAAAATTTGGAGTCTAGTTGGGTTATTATGCTTTTGCGATTTACAACGAAATCTGGTTCTCTGATATAGTTTCAGGAGTTGTCTTACAAGACCATTCTAGTTTGCTCGCTTTCAACTATATAGAAAAACAACGCTTGAGCAAGCCTAGCAGGCAGAAAGGAAACGAAGAAAAAAGGTGGTTAAAGCTAGCAGATACCCGTTTGACTATTTTACACATAAGAAGGAACAACAGGCAATAATAAATCAGACAGGAAAAAATCCAAAAAAACAGCTAGTCAACAGCTTCGCTAATTAGAATTGAACGTGATGGCATCATCAGGCCATGCTGCCAACGCTTTGCCATTAGCTTGAAATGCATCGCTTGCCAGCCCCGCCGTGAGAAAATGAGTCACCTTGCACAAGACATTTGGCTTTGTAAACTAACACAAGGGTACAACCTTTCTTGGCAGTAATGTGGTAACTAAAGAAAAGGAAGCAGATGACCGCTGGTTTGCCGAAAAATAGTACAAAAGTTTATCCACCATTCTCTCATTTTTCTTGCTGCAATAAATACTGTTTTTTATGAACCTTAAAGCGTTGCGGCAAGTTATTGTAAACAGAAAGCTATTGGCCACATTGTAATAATGTCATCCTTTCTTTTCATTCATTGACAGCACCACGTCTCCAGCATACCGGCTTTTTAAAGTAAACATGGTGTCCGCGATGTGTGTGGGTTAGTACTATATATGATGAGTGCGTGGGGAGCCGCAATCACTCAATTTAGTTCTCGGAGAATGAATGTATAATAGAAATAAATGGTATATATATATATATTATATATATATATACATATATATATATGAGATTTATAGACAGTAATACCAAGGAAGTTATTAGAACAAATTTAATGTAAATAAGAAGAAAGAAAAGTGGGTTAAAAATAACCAGCCGTGAGCTCACGGCTGGTATCAAAACACGGAAAAACGAGCCCTTAGGTATACTCTTCCTTCCCTTATATATAATATATATATATATATATATATATATCTATATATATATATATATATATATATATATATAAATAATATATATATATATATATTATATATATATATATATATATATATATAATATATTATATATTATATATATATATACATATATATATATATGAGATTTATAGACAGTAATACCAAGGAAGTTATTAGAACAAATTTAATGTACATAAGAAGAAAGAAAAGTGGGCTAAAAAATAACCAGCCGTGAGCTCACGGCTGGTATCAAAACACGGAAAAAAACGAGCCCTTAAATAAACTGTTCTTTCCCTTATATATATATATATATATATATATAATATATATATATATATATTTCAAAGTAATGTGCGTTAAGGAATGAAAACATCGCTGCCATGCGCATTTTCATATAAATTTTTTGACGCATTAACAATGCGAGCAAGCAACATCGAAGTCAGGCCGGTAGCTGTAGTACGTCAAGAGCAGCACGAATCTGTGGCAACCGCCCCTAGTGCCTTCATTCAATTGCCAAGGTGAGTTGTCGCTAAAGCGCCCAAATTCAACTTTCTAGACTCTTCTTGTAGTATGCCGAGAGGCCGCAGCTGTTACAATCACAAGGACAGGATCATGAATGGAATGCGCTTTCACTTCTAGCGGAAAGACATGCACGTGGTGACCCACGTAGGTGCGGGTACAATTGTTGCGTGAACGATGACTCCGATTAGGCCAGCGACCGTCATACATGCAGGCGCATTGGGTTAGAACCACTCACCTGCTCGTTTGAGATCTTGAAGGGCAACTTTGTTGCTTGTCAGACGTTGCACCTTGACTTCCGGAAACGGCGTCAACGTGACGCACACTTATTCATCAACAATTATTTCAGCTCCTACCAATAGAAATACACCTGCTCCGACAGGCTCTGTTTCACTGCCAGCCTTTTACTGCTTAAGAGATGTCAACGACGTTCGCAATCCATCATATAGAGGTAGACTTCAGGCCCATGCCGTAAGAGCGCTTTGTTAAACCGCTGCAACTCTGCTTGTTAAGAGAGGCTGTCATATTCGGACGCGCGTCTTCTTCCTTTACGCTGTAAAGAACCCCATATGAACGCAAAAGAGCGAAATCTTCTAATCCATTAAAGATGGTATTGTGTCGACCTTGTGGTTTGTGGCAATACCTATAAGAGGCGTTCGTTGTGGCCTACTACTAGGCACTCTCAAACAAGAGCCATGACGTGTTTATGTGTAATCTTCTGGTTGTTATTCTGATTCCGTCATTGAGTATTGATGCATGCAAAATAAATGTATTTGCTAGAATTCATATGCCGTTGTTCCTGATAATATAAAAAAACAAATTTGCCGTATAGCGTTTGGCCCGCAGTTTTGTACTTTAATCGCTAGTATACTCAGTTGCATTGTCAATGCCTTAAAATTTTAAAACCGGTATAGCACAATGACCTCAAGTGTGCTAAAAAAATTGCTGCTTTGTCTGCACATGTTATCGATGCCGTTGTGAATCAGTGTGTTGATATTGCGTTTCACTGACAAATACGGATTTGGCAAGACTGGGCTTCGAAGCCCTATAAGGCAAACATTCCTTCGATGGAAGCGCGAGTGAAGACGACGAAGTGTTCGGGTATCCAAGCGCTTCTCTCTGTGCTCGCCGATTTTTTTTTTGGTGAAACCTTCAGTTTTGCATGGTGCCTTGGCTGCGGGTCTTGCGGCCATGGACGCGGGGCCTTCCAGAGGCCCACCTGGCCAGCAGTCATCTCGGCTGACCACCGCGAGGAAGAGAAAAACTTCACTCAGTGACAGCGAGGACACAGGGCTGTGCTCAGCCGCCTCGGAAGACGACTCATGCGACGATGATTTCATTCCTGCCCGGAGCAAGCGGTCGAAGAGGAAGATTGTCAACGCAGCCTCGCCCATCTCTTCGAGTACAGCGACTATGAGGTCAAGGCATGAATGCTGGGCACACGTCATCATCTTTGTGCTAGAAGATTTTTTAGAAAACCTGCGACTACTGAACAGGCAAGTACAGCACTCTCCGCTTTTTTGAACGTGTGGTACCTAATGAAATCAAGGAAATCAGAGTAAATACACGAAAAGATATACTCCCCATTAACGTATTCTACGTGAATGCGCTTGGACCACTCAAACAAGTGACTGAGCTAGGCGGCATAAAATTGCGGTTCTTTACACCGACTAACAACTCATCTATAGCTGGTGTGATTTCCGACATTGAGATATCCGATGCTGACTTGCCTACCCTCATCAAACAGGCAAATGAGGGCACTGTCAACACTCAGGTACACCACCTTGAGAAGTCGCGCTGTCTGAAACTGGTCTTCAAAGGCGATTGCACACCATGTTTACCATCCCATGTGAAAGTCGGACGTTTTAGACATCATGCTCGGCCTTTTGAGCAAAATCCACTTCAATGCCACCAGCGCTTTAAACTAGGTCACGTCAAGGGCGTATGCCCGAACTCGCTACGGTGCCTCTGGTGCGCAGAGCCAAATTCGGCAGATGCGTGTCATCCCACATTTCTTAAATGCGGTAACTGTAATGGCTCACACACTGCCTCATCGAAAGATTGCTCTTGAATTAGGAAGACGCGTTTGGTGCTTAAGCAAACGGTCACAGACAATTCGACCCGCAGGGATGCTGCCGAAACAGTCCAGCACCGGCAGCGGCGTCGGTGCCATCGTTCGACCTCAAAGACTGCGCAAGCTCGAAACGACAGTGCGACCTCTACTACTGCACCATTAAATAAAGCCGCAACAGGACTGACAAATTCAAAGAAGACTTCGAAGAGGAATGACCTATTCTTCTCTATAGACGAATTACCTATTCTTCATACTCATCCGTTAACCATAGAACGTCAGCAGACC